CTCATCCTCTTAAAATCATCCTTCATTTACATGATGATGAGGTTTCAAATCCCAAGCCTGCAAAACTGGTTACTCTGAGGTTTGAATACTTATTGGAGTTGAATGTTGTATGTGTTGGGATTGATGGCTCTCAAGAAGGACCTCAGAACAACATCTTATGCAACTTGTTTCCTGATGATACTGGTATTGAGCTTCCCCATCAGTCAGCTAAGCTCGTTGTTGGTGCTGCTGTTGAAGTCTTGGTAGAATGGTGTAATTTACCATCGGCCGAAGCCACATGGCTCCCATTGGCAGAGTTCCACGCCACATATCCAGAGTTCGAGCTTGAGGACAAGCTCGTAGTCCAGGAGGGGAGTAATGTTATGGACGCATTCCTCGGGTACTGTTGTAATTTTCTCCTTCTTTATGTTGTACGACTAGACTAGTATAAATAATAACTTATGCACTCGCCTACAGTGTTCTGTAGGGGTTTTCAGTCCTCTCGACTCGACTCTCCTCTCTCCCTCTCTTCTCTCCTCTCTTCTCTTCTCTTCTCTTCTCTTGCTCTTGCTCAACAGGTTCCACAAGGTAGTTCAACAGATGGGCTTTAAGTAGTGCCAATCTGATCACACGCTCTTTGTGAAGAGAGAACAAGGAAGAATGACAACTTCAATTGTGTATGTCGATGACATTATTATCACCGGTGACTGGGACTAAGAGATAAAAAGATTGAAGAGATTCTTGGCTACTCAATTTGAAGTGAAGGATTTGGGACCCTTATGTTATTTCCTTGGAATTGAAGTTGCCTACTCAAATAAGGGTATCTTCATCTCCCAGAGGAAATTTATTTTAGATCTCTTGAAAGATACGGGGAAGCTTGGAGCAAAACCTGCTGACACTCCTATAGATGTAAACCACAGACTTGGGGATTTCTGTGATGAGCCCATAGCAGATATGAAGCAGTATCAAAGATTGGTGGGCCGACTTCTCTACCTATCTATGACAAGACCTGACATTGCGTATGCAGTGGGAGTCCTTAGTCAGTTTATGCATGTTCTCAGGACCACACACTTGGAGGCAGCATACAAAGTTCTTAGATATTTAAAAAAATTCCCTGAGACTGGACTCTTATTTGAAAAACATGGACATATGAAAGTTGAGGTTTACACTGTAGCAGATTGGGCTGGTTCTGTGGATGACAGAAAATCCATTATTGGCTATTGTGCCTTTGTTTGGGGAAATCTTGTTACTTAGAGGAGTAAAAAACAAAGTGTGGTGGCCAAATTGAGTACAAAAGCTGAATACAGGGCCATGTCTCATGGTGTGGAAAAACTTCTATGGATAAATAACCTCTTGGGTGAATTGGGCTTTCCTTTTAGTGACCCTATGCCACTCTACTGTGACAATAAGGCAGCCATCAACACTGCAGCCAATCCTGTTCTCCATGATAGAACTAAACATATAGAGGTAGACAAATACTTCACTAGGGAAAAGTTGGAAAAAAGAGAAGTTTGCACTCACTACATCAGCTCTGAGGAACAACTTGCAAACATCCTTACCAAAGTATTAAACTCCATGCGACACTATAATCTTTGTGACAAGTTGGGGATGATTGATATCTACGCCCCAACTTGAGGGGGAGTGATGTAATCTTAGTTATGTGCCACAAGGGCACTTATGTCTTTTCCATTTATTGTTTTATTGCTTATGTTGTTGCCCTAATATTGGAATGCAAAGTCTGGCGCCGCTAGAATACAACCTTCGATCTCCATCTTCTCTTTTTCTTCTCTTCTCTTCTCTTCTCTTCTCTTCTTCTCTCTTGAATGAAATCACTATTGTATGACACAACTTTGTTTGGACCTTAAATATCAGATTGGACTAAAGCAAAAGGACTTAGATTGCGACTATCAACTTTAGGACTAAAAGAAACCTGATGGTGTTTCCCATACTGGCATGACTCACATTCCAATGAAGGAAGACAACACAATGACGGAACAAGTAACTGAAGTGTCTTGAGAGATGGATGACCAAGCTTGCAATGCCACTGGAGAGGTATGAGAGAAGATTGGAGAGCTACTGTCAATCTATCACTATCAAGATAATAGAATCCACTAGCTTCATGCCCTCTGCCAATTTTCATCTCCATCTTGAGATCCTGAAAAACACAAGAGATAGGGAAAAAGGATATAGAACAATTGAGAGATTTGGTTAATTTGCTAAAAGGCATAAGATTAAAAGGAAATTTGGGCACATATAGAACTGAAGATAAAGACAATGATGCAATATCAACAATACCAACACCACAAATAGGAGAGGTAGAACCATTAGCTAGAGTAATTGTTTGTGATGTAGAGGATGGAGAAAGGAAGGAAAACAAACCTGGAGTCCCAATCATATAATTGGAAGCTCCAGAATTGATTATCTAGGGTGAAGGAAAGCAGACCTTGTTTTGTTGTTTATTGAGAATTATTTACGTAGTTATTCTTTATTATGTGAAAATTGAGTATTGTTAATTTTATGGAGTAAAGTCTTTAAACCAGTGCCAAGTTATTGCCTTTTTTTGCTTTATATAGAAAAGTTAAAAGAAAAAAAAAAGAAATCCTGGTTCTGATGCAGAAGAGACTTTATGTTATTTGATGGATCCACCTTGATTTGTTCCTTATCCAGAGATAAAGTGATAAACACCTTTGGAAAAATTTAACTCCTTGTTGGTAGGGTTGTTGATACTTGATTGTAGACTCTTCCTGTGGCTTATGGACTGTCTGAAGCATGGAAAGAGGTTTAGGGTCATCCATTGCTGTAATGGCCATCCAAGATGAAAGCATACCAAGTCAATCTTGATTTGTTGACTCTATTAGCTTGCAGCATGGTTTTATACTAAGAAAAAGCTATCTACCTTTTTGTTCAATGCAAAATGAAGTTTCCTGATTTTAAATATTGTTTTCTGCATCTTTTTATGGATATTATTGTTATTTGCATTTTGGGATTGGTGTTCTTAAGGATCTATGTTTATATTGTTATTTGCAATGATTTATAATTTGGTTCCAGTTCCTTTCCAAACCATGTGGCATAATATTTGTAGAAGAGTTTGTCAAATAACTTGCAACTTTTCACTGGGTTTCTTATGGTATGAGCTGTTGACAGTTGACACAAGCAATGGGATGTATTTTGCTTGTTAGAGATTCTGGTGTTGGGAACCATGATATCCATGGCATATGATATTTTTGTTGGGTAACATCTTTTAACATGTATCTATGGAATTTCATGTAGGCATTTCCTGAGGAAATATATGACAGTACCAAAAATGGATTTTTCACCTATTGACTTCAGATCTACTTATAGTACCTGGGTACGGTTTCCTAGGACTGGTCTAAGGTGTCTTTCTGCAGGCACAGTTACAGACTTTGAATGGAAAGATTATGGTCCAGCAGTGTTCAGGTTCTTTAATACTTCTTTTTTCAACTTTGTTATTTGGTTATCACTAATAGAAATTTCTGTGATGCTGGAATGGTATGATACAAGAACTTTGACTAATCAGAACCCCTGGGTGAATTTTGATGAATACCAGTTAATTGATTACCACTTTTCTATGATACTGGTTGATTGGTCATCAATTTATTAGGTATCATGCCTTTTCGGTATGATAGTGGAACTCATCACTAATTAGAAACATTAATGCATATATAGAATCAATAAGAAACATTTAAGATCATAAGCAAAATCCAGGGATCTCTAGACGAATATAGATCCAAGGTGCAGATGACTATCTAAGCTTCTTTGTATAAGCAGATATCAGGTTAGGTTTATAAAAACAACTAGCATTGGAATTTATACAAACAACTAGGTTTGTACAATTTTAAGCCTTGTGTTTTCAGATTTCTCCCTAGATTCTCATTCCAAGGGTTTTCTTCTAGAGTCTTTTTTAGAAGAAAAGAGCTTTCGCCTAGAATTTACTGCATCTTAGGTAGACAGTCATTTTGTTGGAGGATATTGTGAAGCTCGAGTTTTTCTGGAAATGGATCGAGGATTTCGTTAAGCAAGAGATTGGAGGCAATATTTGGGGATTGAAGCAAAAACCTTTTCATTGGAGGAGATAAGGACAATAGCATAGAAACTCAGAAGGTAAGAGAAAAAGTTTTTATCCTCTTGAATGGTGACTGTTGCCTAGCTAAAAAACTTCATTGAGGGATCTATACATCTCAACCAGAGAAGGGAATGGAAGAATGAAATCAATAAGAGTATTAGGAAGCATGGGGCTGAGAGAAAGTAGAACAAAATTATAAGGTTCTTGCTCATCTTTGAAATCTTTGATGCAAACAAAACACATAATATATGTATACCAGAAGATGGAAGGAATTTAGGGTGGTTTGGGTTTGTAGGAGTCTTACAGATTTTTCTTGGTTACCAAAGGTAGTTGAGAAAATAAGATCAATGGGATGGTAATAAAGAAATAAGAAAAACAAAATGTTGTGGAAGCGGTGAAGGTAGCTTTGCAACCATCAAAGGCACTTTATAGACTTCGAATAACATATTTGGGAATTGGTGTTGGTCGTCATGGTTCAAAGAAAACCAGAGGGTTGGATGGACATCAGGAATTTTCTATCATAGTGATAGGAATCAATCAGCACCCTTGAAGACTTATTGTAGAAAGAAGAAGGCCTTAGAACAGGTCCTGATATGGCATAGTGATGGTACTTGGGATTTGGACTGAGTTGAACACCAAGGGTATTTTTGCCATTTTATAATTTTTTGTAGGGTCCAGTAATAGGGTTTGATTGTCTAGTTATAGTTTGTTTATGTTTAAAATTTCAGAGTCATTGCATAAGTAGGATTAGGTTATTGAGTCTTCTTTGAATTGAAATAGGATATGACAACTTAGTTTGAGTCCTACTAGGATTATTGAGTTTAGCAGTTTGACTCCTAAGACTATTATTAGATCTGTTCATGGGCTGGGTAGCTTGACGGGCTGGCCCGGCCCGGTCCGTCCTAAATCGGGCTTGGACAAAATTTTAAGCCTGCAGGCTTGGGCTCTAAAAACCGGGTCTGACTATTTTTAGGGCCAGGCTCGGGCATTCCCAAATAAGCCCGGCCCGATAATATTAAATATATAACAAATATATAATATATATGTTAATAATACATAATATATATTATATAATGATAAAATTAATAGAAAAAAGTATTATACATATTAAATGTATAAAATACTATATAATATATAATATATAATTAATATGTTGTAAAATACCTATCAAAGTCGGGCTTTGGGCTTTATATAGGGTCGGGCTCGGGGTCGGGCCTAGTATTTTTCTGTTTATAAAGAGGCAAAGCCCAGCCCAGCCCATGAACAGGTCTAACTATTATGAATCTAACAGTTTGACTCCTAGGATTATTATGAATTTAGAGTATAAATATGTATGGGCGTTTTACACAAAGGTAATGAATTATATTGAGTTTCTTCAGCTTATGCTAACTATGGTGAGTGATTCTCATGCCCTAGAGTGATTCTAGGCACCCTGTGAGTGATTCTAGGTATTTTCTCTCTTCTTTCTCTCCCTATTTTCTCTCTTATTCCTTAAAGAAGCCATTACAGCCATCGACAGCCATAAAACTCTGATCAAGAAGACCATTCAACATTCTCTAAGGACTAGAACTGAGCTGATCCTACATCACATAGTCCTTCAAATGTAATCTAATTCTAAAGACCTTTGCAAACACAAAGGTTGTTGTGTTTTATCTTGTCCATTAGAAGAAAGGATTATGACAATTCAGTCAGATTGGGGTCCCCAACTCCCTTGCAATTTACAAGTGGCATCCATATTATCAAATGCTACCCAGACCTCAGGTACCCAATCGTTGGAAGTAGGGGAAGTTGGTTTACCATTAAACATGTAGATGGAGGAAGTTTTGAAATTGGTGGGGGACCTCTGTGGAGATTTTCTTGAAGCAAGTCTTAACTCTTTGGAGTACAGAAACTTGAGAGTAGATTAGATAAAAATTGTAGGCAATAGAGCCAACCATGTCTCTAGGGCAATGGAGATCGTGCATGACGGTATTTTTGTCCAAGTATGGATCTTGTTGTCCATTGAGCTTCAGCTATGGTGGGATTGAGAGGAAGATGATGGCGATGACCTGGAAAATTTGAGGACATGTGGCGTGAAACTAGGGAGGACAGAGGGGGCATTGACTGTTCTTGCGAAAGAGGATACTGAAAGAGTCATGAACGGGAAAGACTCTTTACAGAAGACAAAAATTAATGAGGCTGTGGAGACTATCAATAAGGATTCAAAGGTTGTTTTTAATACTTTTTTGAGGTGGTGGCTCAAAAATCGAAGAGCTTGCAGTGTAAGGAAACTAGAGTTGGGGGAGATGGAGTAACTCTTAAGGAAGTTCTAGTGGGGACTTGTGGCGAGCCAGGTGGGTTTAAGCCACACCAATTTTTTGGGCTGGTTTAGTTAACTAAACAAACCAAACTGTAAGCGGCATTAAAATTTTGTGGAAAGCAAACCTCGGGGCAATTAATTGAAGGCAATTGTGGAAGTGGTAATAAGATAGTCTATCATCGTAGTGATGGACTGGGTTCTCATTTTTCCAGAGTTGGTGCTGGCAATGACCAAGTCACTAAAGAAAACTTTATTTCTCCAAATCAACTCTTTCTAATCAAAGAGATGGGCTGGAAGAGGTTTCGGGGAATCAAAGCTAGAAGATTCTTCTTTGAGGAGCTCAGTTTCAAAGAAAAGTTTGCGTTGAATATCAGGGAGAACAAGACATCTGAGGTGTTTTTGGTGGGGGAAGCTATCTGGTGGTTCAAAGGATTTGTAGAGGATTCAATCAATCCCAGAGAGGGAGGAGAGTGGAAATCAGTGAAAGAATTTTCTGAAAGAAGATATGTTGCAGAAAAAAGTAACTTGAATGGTAGGTTAATAGCACTGTGGGAATTCCCTGAAGGGAGAAGGTAATAGGCATATAGATCGGAAGAGGACTGTCATACTTTTACAGGAGTTCGTTTCAAACATGGAGAAAAATCTCTCGGATTCTAAAGTTTGGAAGGAATTTCTGGTGAGTCTGGTTTAAAAGATGGTGAGAAGCATGATGGAAAGTTTGCATTTTAGAGTAATGTGGGGGAGATCAAATTGGTGATTAGTGAAGGAAAAGATCGGTGGGAGAATCACTTAGTGGTTACAGCAAAAGAAAGAATTGAAGACTGGTATGCAATCGGAGAGGCAGTTAGCAGTTTCTTGAAGTTGAAAGGTTTGTTAATGTTAACTCCTTTCAGTGAGAGAAAATCACTCCTTCACATTTTGGAAGATGAGGTAGAAATGACATCTGTTTCTCTCCAAACTAAGTTTGACTAGATTTTAATCTCACATTGGACTCCAGGTTCTAACTCAAAGGATTTACTTCTCAATGATGACATCACAATAAGGATTTTGGGGTTGCCCTTTCACCTGTGGCTGCATTCAGCTTTTAAGGCAATAGCTAAAGCTTGTGGAGGCTGTCTTTCAGGCGTATTTGTTAAAGATCTTCATTCATCAGCAGTGAGATTGGTGGGAGTGGAGCCTGAAGCTATTCCAAGGAAGATGGATGTGCTATCAGATGGTATGCTCCAAAGCATATGGCTTGCAACCTCTGTTGAAGCTTCTCTTTGGAGCGAAGGACGCAGGTTGGAACATGAACAGTTCAAAGAATATGAGCTACATGGCAAGAAGAGATTGGAGAAATCTTCTTTCTTGGATCCTTGTTCGGAAATGGGTGTGGAGAATTTGAATAGTCAGGTTGTTATGTGCCGTTTTGCTAGTAATGGTGATACCTCGAAATTTGGAGCACAGTCTGGAAGTAAGACCTTTGTACAGGCATTAGCTATTGGGAGTAATGAAACGACACACACACACAGGAAATTGTTTTCGTGCAAGGCAAGTTTTGGGAAATGGACCGACAAACTTCAGAAGGAGGTTAGAGTTTGGTTGGGGATAAGGTTGGTTTTGATGTTGACTCAAGTTACATTTCAGCTGGAATTAGTACGTAGTGTGTAGGGTTTGGCGAAACGGTTTAACTGAACTGGCCCTTAAAGCATGTGAGGCTTTAGGGAGTCGCATGACTTAGTTGAGAGCTTTTAGGGAGAATACTTCTTCTTTCCCATTCGAGGCCCTTGAAAATAGTTGAGATGGAGAGGGAGGTTTAACCGCTGGACAATTCCATTTCTGTGCCGACCTTGCGGTCGATGCGAGAGGTGGAAAGGAGGTTGGTCAATTGCAGGATTCATGGATGTTCATCAAGAAGTTTAAAGGAATCTGGTATGCCAGAAAAGTAGAAAAACTTAGGTAATTTGTCAGATATCAGTGAGGCTTTGATGAGAAGTTCAAATGGAAGACCAGAGATGTGAATGAAGAAGCATGTCATAAGGAGAAGAATCAGACCTGGGAAAGTAAAAAATGATA